CCTTCTTCTTACGATAATTTCCCAGCTAAAAAATATATGGATATGAAACTTACATCAGTGGATAGAGAAACACTCGCCCTACCAGATGTTACAAGGACTGCCAGATTTGGACAATTTTCAGGTCTTTTATGCTGCAACATAGAGAGCCATCACTGCGTGGGAAGGAACCTGTCATGGAAAGAGACAATGGAAGAGCACAAAATTAGCAAGTAGTTCGACAAGAACTTATGCCTTGTTCTGCCAATAATTTCCCTACTAAGACAAATATGGATATGAAACTTACATCAATGGATAGAAGAACATTCGCCCGTTTAGACGCCACCAGGACTGCCAGATTTGGACAATTTTCCGGTCTTTTATGCTGCAACATAGACAGCCATTATTGCGTGGGAAAGACACGGGAATTGCACAAAACTAGAAGTTTTGTCTGTCTTCAGGACAGAGCAAAGGGATTTTTCGCATTTTCTTTTTTTTTTCCTAGGAAAAGAGCCTTTTTTCATTTGAGATACTACCACATTTTAATTTAACCCTTTTGGACATTATGAGATATAAAGAATAAAAGTTTTTGCCCTTTACATGACGTCACCTTGTGTATAACACTTGCCAAATCTATCTACCAAATTTCAGCCCGATCAGACATGTAGTTCACAAGATATAGGCTTGTAAAGAATGTACATTTAATGTCACGTGACCAGTCACACGATGAAATCCTTACCACATCAGGTCAATGTTTGTCTAAAACTCTTCCCTTTCAAGAGATCTGCAAGGTTTGAACCCAATCGAACATGTACTTCTCAAGATACAGCATGTTGAGGAGTGCACCGTTAATGTCATGTGACTTGTCTTCTGATGACGTCATTTGTCATTTCAGTTCATTATTCGTCCAAAGAGCTCCCTTCCAAGATAAATGCAGGTTTAATCCCAATTGGAGAAGTACTTCAGGAAATATAGGGCCTTCAAGAGTTCAACTTTAATGTCACGTGACTTGTCTCCTCATGATATCATCATCACATACGGCCAATTTTCCTGTAAAGCATTCTCTATTCAAGATATTTGCAAGATTTGAACCCAGTCAGGCATGTACTTCAGGAGATACAGGGCCTTAAAGAGTGTATTCTCCGTTCACATCAGTTTGCAAACCACGTCTATTTGCATAATCATAAATATGCATTTCACTCTAAAAAACCGAAATTCTATAATAAAATCTAACATACCAGTAATTGATTGCACATTTCAAATTTTCTGTGTACAAAATATAAGAAAAAGATTGCCGGCCACTATAGATGACATCTGTTGCATTATCCTGAACATTTTGGCGCAAAAATCAATTTCACTGTTACTAACTGTGACTAAAAGTTGTACTGTATGATACACACTTCGAAACTACCCTGACATTCTTTGGCAAACGACGCCATGCTGAATCTGCAAGTTAAGGGTCTGGTGTTGTCATTGACTTCATCACCCGTCCTGTTTGGGGTTCAGGACTTAATACGTCCCCACGCAGATCATCAGGTGCCAAGCCCCTTTTTAATCAAAGAAAAAGCAGAATCCAGGCAAAATTAATAACATTGGACATGTCAATAATGTCCGTTATGAAAAAAGCAAATCTACC